TTATTATTATTATTATTATTATTATTATTATCGTTATTATTATCTTCGTTAATATTAATAATGATAACAGTGATAGTAATACCGCTAATAATAATAATAATAATGATAATAATAATAATGATAATAACAATAATAACAATAATAATAATGATTAATAATAATAACAATAATAATAATAATAATAATAACCGACCAACCGAACAACTATCTTTAAACAGTCAATAATTATCAGTTGTGTGTCAGTAATAATAATAATAAAAGTACTAAAATCAAAAGAATGCATTTGATCAAATATACAATAATAATATAAGCATAAGCACATGACGCAACCAATATCAGTGACCAAATAACGAGCAGTTGTTCAAATAACGCACACACACATTCTAAAACGTATTTTTGACTGAATAATAATTTATTCATTTGATTATATTTCATTAAATGAATCGAATTTTCCATCAAAAAAAAAACTATTTTAAATGCAAACAGACGAAAAGAGAAGCGATTGGAAAGGATTACGAATGTAAGATAAACGGTTTAAGGCAATCCAATTGGGAATGCAATGTTCATTTTGATTACATTTACAAAAAAAAAAACAAATGTCATCGTTCAAATATCTTCTTGAAATTAATTTTTCGTTATTTTAAATTCCAAATTTCAAAAAATAATAATTAGGAAAGTTTTATAAGTTAATTTCTGAACTCAAAATTTGTTGAGCACTGATTTCTATCAAATGTGATGATTCAAGTTAAAATTAATTCACATAAATTGATTTATTCAATAATTTAACTCACTCAAAGACTTGATATACAAATACTGGTATGTAGCGAATGTTGAGGTGCACTTTCTGTATTATTGTTAGATTCATTGTTTGATTTCACAGAACACGCTTTATGAGTGGAATAATCCATATTCAAATTGGTTCGATTTCTCGATTCAATCCATTCATCGTTATCACTCTCACTGTTTCGATTCAGTCCAATATCATCCTTATACGACGAAACAATATGATGAGTATCTTCATCACCACCGTCACAGTCTTCATGTCTATTTCCTGAGTTTTAAACATTCATCTATGCATTAGTTTTTGAACAATTTAAATAAGCTATAAGTAATCGAAGGATAGTAACAATGATCACAACAACAATAATGATTTATAAAATAAACATCAAATTACTCACCCACACAGCAACCGGTCACAGCCCATTTATGTGCATTTCTATTATTAATATTGTTACTACTATTATTATTACTGAGGGTTGTGTGTATATTCTCATTTGATATGATTCTTCTCAATTCTGGTATCAATTTCATATCACCATCGTATGCACCCGATTCTGTTTCGATCAGTTCTCTTTCCTTGAACACATTGACGCTCGATAACGGTTTTAAAAATAAAAACAATAGCAATAATAATAACAGTACAAGTATAGTGATAAACTGATAACAGAAAATGAACCGTAGCTCGTTCGAGACACTGCAAGAGATGATGATGTTGTATCTGGAAGATGTCCTCGTCCTTGAGTGCATTCAAACCGATCAATCCTTCTTCAAAAGCTTGCATTCGTGCCTCATGTGCCTTCTTCTTACTGAATAACGCTTGACCAGATGCATTCTTTACTATACGTATTCGTGCAAGACGTGCTTTCTACATTTTCATTATCGTTATTACTTTTGCAAACAATAGTGACTATTTATGTATAAACTATTATAATCACACGATTGCTCGTTTTGCGTTTAACTTCGGTTCAACCTTACATCAAACTCATTTGAACGGAGAATGGCATTTGAAAGCACGTTAATTCCAGAAAACTTTTTTGAAAATCTCAGAATTTCAACCCCAATATATGGGATCTGACAGCGATAGAATGAATGCATCTGTATGAGGGTTTATGCTTATGCTCTAAACTACAACGTAAATGAAGCATCTCTCACAAAAACATTCATTATACAAATCAATTAGCGAAAGATTAAATTCATTTTTTTCAACACTGCGATAAAATAAACACACGTATTTATTCTATCGCTGTCAATTAAAACACATGCAAAAGATTCCTCATTCAAGAATAGAATCTAGATTTACGAATGGACTGACTCATCAAAGATTAGTGAAAACAAACGATAAGTGATTGAAACGGGTTTTCAGTTGGTACTCGTTTCAATTTTATGATCGACCGACATTTGGCCGCTTGCGAAATTATCCCGAATTTTCTGTTTTTCAGGTTTTTTTTTTCGATAACTATCAAATTTCGGTATTGCAAAATATTGCACTGGATTGCGACTAATCCAGATGTGGAAACAAATAATCTGAATTAACTATAAGCCAAACTGATCCAACCTTTTGTGCCTTTCGTTTATCGGCGCGTTGATTCTGATGATATATACGTGAAAAATTGCTGACAATAACCTGTAAAATTGGATAATCAAAAAAGATGAATAATGAATCATTAACATTGCTCATAACCGATTTATGATAGAACAACAGTAATGAAGGAATACGTGAACAAATAAATGAATAAACACGAGAACGCAACGAACTAACTGGAACGGGAAGAGCAATGACTAGTACACCACTCAATGAACAAACACCTCCTACTACCTTACCCATCACTGTCGCTGGTACCATATCTCCATAACCCAGTGTAGTCATCTGCAAAAACATATTTATACGATTCGATATTATATTATCATGAAAAACAATAGTCGACAATGAACTCATGACAGCAATAATAACGGTAATAATAATACTAAGAATAATTGTTATAGTATCAGTCAACAAATGAGCACGAACCGTAACAATCGTATACCAAAATGCTGCTGGAATTGAAGTGAATCGTGTATCAACAACTTTTTTTTCAGCATAATACATAATTGTTGCAAATATGATAATAGCCATTGCTAACGAAAAGACCAGAAATCCTAATTCACTAGCGCACGATTTAAGTGTATAACCGAGTATTCGAAGTCCTTGAGAATGACGCGAGAATTTGAATATCCGAAATACACGCTGAAATACGAACTTATTTGTTGGGTATTCGAGCGTTGCAGGGCTTGATAAAGGTGATACTTACAAAGACACGTAATGTAACAAATGCACCAGACACGTCCTTCTTATTGGTTAGACCCAGGCCAATATAGTACGGCAATATAGCAACCACATCGATAACACTCATTATTGAACGCAAAAACTTGATGCGATCTGGTGCTGCGAATAAACGTGCTAAATACTCCACTGTAAATATTATCACACAGGCTGTGTCGAGCACGAAGAACTGCAATTTTGAAAGAATTTGTAACATGGGCTATCCGCATACACAATGCTTTCTACAAACGTTCCCTTCTAGGACCAAAACAACGATACAAAAATACATTGATAAAATTTCTCAGGCACACGTGATTACATAAGGCAAACTGCTGGAATGACGTCGATCTGCGAAGTTAACAGGACCATCAAACGAACGTATAAAGGTGATTTCTACGCTACATTACTAAAACTAAGTGATTTGTAAATCCCTTTTTGATCAGATGATGTTACATAAAAATATCATCATGAATAATAACCTGTCTTTCATATAAATCCCCACACGAAATAGTCAAATCGTCGGCCATATATTTACAAGGTATTGTTTCAATTATGTTACACATCACTGAAACAGCAATAAAAAATCCAGTTACATAATAGAACACCAATGCCACTGAGGACGTATGCGGATTCTCGAATGCTGCCCACATTTTTTGCTGCAACTTTTGCTGATGAAATTTCAATTAATTATTTCAGAGTGTATCTTTTCTCTTCAGTTCACAATTAAGTACATTAGAAACAAACATATAGTCAATTAATACTGTTTATTATTATTATTACTATTATCCAGTGTTGGGCAGTAGCGCGCTATTCTGCTAGTCCGCTAATAGCGAATAGCGGAATAGCGGAATAGCGATATCGGAAGTTCGAGTGAATAGCGGAATAGCGATAGCGGGAACGGCGCTATCGCTGTTCGATAGCGAGCAACTTCCGCTATATTCCGCTATCAGTTTATTTACAGTACAGAATCTGTTACAACAACAAGCAATCATGACTTCTTCGGCGTTATATCAACGCCAGTCGACAAATCGCACGAAAAGTCCTTGAAAAAGAGAGCAAAAAAGATCGTTGAAGAATGGTTAGATGGAGAACTCGAAAATAGTCTGGGGGATGCAACTTTTATGAATGACACGCGCTTCGTTAAACTGTTTATCAGGTCCACATATTGTTGGTCATACTTGTTTNGATATTAATACCTCTAGCATGACTTCAAGTAGTTAAAAATTTCAGATATAACACAGGCATGCCTTCTGGGGCACCAGTGGAGCGCATGTTTTCGCTAGGAAAGGATATCATGCGAGCGAAGCGGTCGAGAATTTCCGATGGATTATTCAATATGTTGATGTTTATCAAAGGAAACGAGAAATTATGAGCATTTTGGGCGCTGTTTTGATGATGTTTTCGCTGTTGAACTGTTGTGTTTCATGCTGTTGTGTTTCTGTTGTTGTTTTTTTATAACATGCTGTCGACCAAATTTAATGATATGACATTCGACTCACTGATTGTGAGGTAGTTTTCGAAAGTGGCACTTTAGGAAGGAGGGGATTTTTGGTGATGATACTTCAGGAAAAAGGGGATCTTTTTGTGACAATACCCTACGAAGAACATTTTTTGATGATAATACTGTTGCGGTTTTTTGTTATGTTCCTGTTGTTTCTTCATAATGTGCTGTTGACAAAATTTATTGATATAATATTCGATGTGCTAATATAGTTTATGTGTGTCTGTTATTGTTGTTTTTATATAACATGCTGTTGACCAAATTTATTGATATAATATTCGGTGTGCTGATATAGTTTGTATGTTTCTGTTGTTGTCGTTTTTTCACAATATGTTGTTAACCAAACCTATTGATATGACATTCGGTTCACTGACATAGTTTTCGAAAGTGACTGATAAACTTTCGATGATGTTTTTGCTGTTAAGATGTTTTGTTGTGGCCTTTTTTAATGATGCTGTTGTTGTTTTAATGTTGTTTGTGTTCTATTGTTTTAAATTTTTTTAATGTTTAAATATGTCCTATTGTCATAAAATAAAATTTATTTTCTCGTGAAAATCTACTTTCGTAATGTTTCTCACATTTAATTCAAAAATGCGTGTTGATTAATGAAAATTTTGAATCATTTAGTGGTGTAATGAGGTTTTTAAAGTAGGCGATAGCGATAGCGATAGCGGTAGCGATAGCGCTCCGCTATCGATTCGGTGGGTAATAGCGATAGCGGTAACGGACTAGCGGAAGTCTTTTCGATAGCGGAATAGCGATAGCGCGCTATCGTTCTTCGATAGCGCGCCCAACACTGCTATTATCAATATTATTATTATCATTATTAATAGTACTGTTATTAGTAGTAACAGAAGAATGAAATCAGAAATGCATTAATTATTCAGATGTGAATATTCAGAAAAGCATAATGAAAGTGTGATAAAGATGAGAGTAAATACCTGCAACGATACAGTTCGTTTCGTTTTATCAACGCATTCCAATTGCTCCTCAATTAAACGTTCTTGGTTTTCCCGTTTTTTATCTTTATAATCCTCATAACAACAATCACTTATCAGATCTGGCATTATACCGAAAAACGACAACTCCTCATCGTACGCAACGAGGCATTCATTCTTTGGATACTAAAAGCAATTAAATATGTTGGCTTGGCCTTCATAATCTTAATGCTTCACACAGCATTCATACATCCGTTTTCACAAAAAACTCCACTCTCATCCGCCACAAGCAAACAGTGTTCGAACTGACGACACTGTATCAATTGATGCTAGGATGCCCTAAATGGTGTGTCGCGCGATTCCATCCGTCTCCTTAATTCTTATTTGCTTCGTCTGTGGGCGAAAATTTTACTTGGAACTGAACGTTATGGCAACGTCAAGAAATAATTGTTTGAATACATTAAAAATTATGAGCAATATGCAGAATAGGCACTTTATAAGATGATAATAATAAATAGAAATTTGAAACATATACTCAAAAAGATGGCCATATCGTTTTATTGTGCGTAATGTTTTACTGAGGTAAGCTGAAAAATGATGCGGTAATTATGTGAATTAATGGATCATTTCAATGGAATTAATGGATCAATGGATCATAATGGATCACTCAATCATTTCACATATATGCATTTATGATAATCAAATCCTACAGACTGCGTTATCGCAAGTGTCTTGGTGTGCACAAAAGTTTATGGTTGAGAAACACTACGCAATATAATACAACCTAACCTTAGGTTAATTCCACTTTTGATGGTTCTTATTACCTAAATGCTAAATTTATGATGTATTAGTATCAGCTGCAGCTGCAATCACATAACGGTATCGGTTATGAAGCGGAAAAGTTTTTATTCGAAAGTGATCAATAACAGTAAAGAAAACTGCTTTGCTGGACGCATTACAAAGAAATGGTTATGTCAAAACTGAAAATTTAGTTGTGTTCCATCTATGAACTGTTTGATGCATATGAGGAAAACAATCTTTTCGACCTAATGAGCATAAACCCAAAGCTGAAAGTTTGCTGGAGTTTTCAATTGCCGTTCCAACAAAATAATAATAAATTTTAATGATAACAGAACTCAATAGACATATCATTTTAAAAATATATATATATATATAACTCACATGAAGTTTACCAGTCCTGTAGAATGTCAGAATGAATCGAAAAATATCCGGGTCCCGATCAAAGAAATATTCACATGTCTCTTCGTCATAAAAGAATTCTTTCTCACTTGAACCAAGCAATGTCTCAGGATATTTTTCAAGCGTATTACGCCACGTTTCGAAACGTCTTCCAGAGATATTGATTAAGAGCTTCTCATCGGATACATGATCAACAGCTAAATCTTTTGCCTGCAAAGTGAATTAATCTATCACATTGGGTAAATCATTCACTTTCCAATAAAACTTTCCCTCCACGAACAACACCCAATTTCATTGATGCTATCGAGCCTAAGCCAGGCTACGATTTGCGTTTTATCTAATCATGTGAACTTTTACAATTATAAATGATCTACTTCAATTTCAATAATAATAATAAACGTCAAGAAGTAACGACCTCGTTGATCAGAGAGGATCGATGAAATCGTTTGTATCAACACAATGCCTTACGCGTAATCAGCAACGGCAACAGTCATAATCCAATGTTAATTCATGTATCTCGTCATTCCGTTATCATTTCGCTTAAGAACATCAATATACGCTTATGCATTCATTTTGCGTCGTTGTAGGCTATGCGCCAATCAAAGAATTTCTATCTTCGTTAGTAACATTACTAAAATTAATTTTTTCGCTGTCTATTTGCATGGATTTTCAGGAAGTGATGAGATATATGAATATTAACTGGTCAAGATTAGATTACGTCGTTGTTGCTGCTGATTAAGCGTAAAGCATTGTGTTGATCCAAGCGATTTGATCGATTCATGGCTATGGCTAATGAATTCGTTTCTTCATCAACTTATTTTGAACCATCTTCACTATATACATAATGCGCATAACTGTGAATATTTTTTATCACACTCAAGATAATTTCAATGCAATAATCATAACAATAATAACTGTTATTGTTTAAATGGGTAGAGCTATATTCAATATTCATAATAACAATAATAATAACGAACCTGTATAGCTATAGGCGCTGTAGGCATAGGCTGCCTTGAAATCGGTACCCATCCTATAGCAGCCGCACGAGCAAATGGTAACCATGCTGCTACTGAGGCCATAATCTGTTAATTCATTTATGTCTTTATTAATTCACCTTAAAATAAACAAATGAACAAATTATTTATAAGAAAATTTCACTCAATTTTCACTGGTTTGTTGACTTGATTTCATGTGAAAAATAATAATATTCTGATATTCTCACTAAGAAAATACTTTATTTAGTCATCAAATAAAGTCACCAAATAAACATGCATCAATAACGAGATAAATTCAGTACAACAGCTATTCATTGAATGCCAACATCGACTAATTAATTGAAATGTAAAATGAAATAAACCGATAATAGAGCTAACAATATATGTAAATCACCTTCACACAGTTGAGTGCTTCACGTCAAGTCATTCCTTTCCTTGCTGATCATCACTTGTTCATATTTTCACATTCGATTTGACGTTGAACTTCGGAATGGAATATTTATTACGTTCAGACAACAGTAAATAATTATCGAGCTACTGATCTGAAATAAAATTATTTTGTCACTCGAACGGATTCTAAACTCTTTTTATGATGATGATGAATGTAGTATCTAACTGAATCAGTGAGTGTATAAATGGATGATAAATAGTAAGTTATATCGGCAAGGATTTTATGATATTATTGTGCATTAATAATAACAATAGTACTTAATAAAAGATGAACAGCAGTTCATAGTGAAGTAAGCAGTTATCCGCAGCATTCATAAAATATATATGAAAATATTCATTACATATATTTATGCACATAATTTAAGGTGAAGTAAATTAGTGTGTGGTATATAGAGCCTCAGGTCACAATGACAACAACAAAACAACAATAACAATAACAAATGAATATAGAAACTGATAGATAAAGCTATTCAAACTTGCATTATATTATACTGCTTCCAGTATTATACTAGTGGTTAGTCGAGCTAGGCTTACGCTTATATAATATCATATAATAACAACAATTGCATGCAGTAGTCTAGGATATATATCTCTTACGCTTATCGTTTATCTAGCCTAGCCTCTTACTCTAGTTCTTCTTATTCACTTCTATTTTATAAAACGTACCTCTTACGTGCACATATTTATCATTATTGTATATATGTAAATATAAATAAATAAATAGATAAATATATATA